AAATGGCGGGACCTCGCCGAATTTTAGTATATAGGCAACTTCGTGTACTGGTCGTAATTCCTGGATCAATTGCGCATCTAAATATGCATCGCAGGAGAAACACCAAACTGACAAATCACTGTTTCCAAATGCAAATTGTTAATAAACAAGGCATCGAGGAACCTTAAGAGCAGAAAGTAATGTATCATTAAGGAACCATTTTACATTTACCTGTAGCTGAGTGCAAGACTGTGATTTGATTGCTGATAATGTTGAAGCATGTGCTTGTTCACAAAACGACTACAGAAGACATTCTTACAGCATAAACACAACCAGTTCTCCTTGGGATTCTCACATCTTGCATAAGTAGATTGTTCTATGGATTAATAAACCAAATAAATAGGTGTTTTCCAAATCATGAAACTGAAACCAAACAGAAACATAAAAATGGGTCTGAAGGCACTTACAGACCGAAAATTATACACCACTTGTAAAGTTAAGATACCAAAACATCTACTTATATTAGACTCGTACAGACCATCTAAAAGAGATGTCCAGCTGAAATGGATTTACTTGAATCATTTATATATGATATCGATGGAATACTAACTTCCAATGGTGGCCGCCTTAGTGGTAAATGCTTGAAATTTTGAAATATATCCTTCAAGATCTTTTGGGAATGACATGAAGAACTTAAACCTTTAATGTATGGCAGCAATGGAATACTAACTTCCGATGGTGACCTTAGTGGTAAAGGCTAGCTTTAAGAGATAATAGGAAGTAAGGGGAAAAAGAGGCTTTGCTATTGCTAGTTGGGCTCCTCGCCTTTATCTGACTTGGCTTCACTATTGCTTATGATATTTATTGTGGTTGGCCTAAAAAGTCGTATTCCTACCTGATTATCTAGTGTATTAAGTTTCGCCATAAGCAAGCAAGATGAGGTCAACCCTCTCCCCATCAGTCGAGCTGCTTCGCCCCTATTTCTAAAGTTCGTAGACAAGGCTCATTCCGTACTTGACTTACGAGCTGGTGTAGTACTCGCCCCTATCTCTAAAGGGGCTTATGCACTCCACTTGCTGTCATATAAACGAGATCTTGGTTTTAAAGCCTCCATGTAGACAATAAATTTAAAATCTTTATTGTCTCTTGGAGTGGGTGTTGCTCCTAAGGATTAGTGGAGGTGACTATGAACATAATTGCAGGGAGGGGAGCCTCCAGATATCTAAGATTCGTCAAAAATAATTTAGGTAAGAAAACAATTCTCTGATAAACCAAATCTAAGCCAGCATAAGAGGAAAGTCCACGATACATTAAAGGCATTACTATATTTTCACGTATTGCCATGTTTCATAAATCACAATAGCCTCATTGAGATGAAAATCTAGTAAGCTGTTCATGCAAGGTTTGAGGAAATCTAATCTACTCACGAATGAATGAAACACAATAGATGGGAGGAAGACAATGTAACGGCCCAAGCCCACCGCTAGCAGATATTATTCTGTTCGGACTTTCCCTCAAGGTTTTTAAAAAGCGTTTGCTAAGGAAAAGTCTCCACACCCTTACAAAGAATGCTTCGTTTTCTTCCCCAACCGATGTGGATCCCACAATACAGCATACACAAACAAATAGCTTAACGTATACCATATTTCTACCCTATTTTGTTCCTTGAAAATAGCAAAGCATTAGAAGAAAGGAAATTCAGTTCTGATTTCCTATTTGAATCCAGGAAGAAGAACATGGCCAGTTTTCTAGACCTTAACCTAAAACTTTGGGGTGGATACCATATTTCAGAGTCTTCATAGATACCCAAGGAGATTCAAACCCACAATCCAAAAAAAGACATCATTCTTAACTGTCTGACAAAGAAATTCTCAAATCAAACAAAAATTAAGCACATAACCCTTCAGCAATGTCCACAGCAGAAATGAAAACCCCACTGAAAAAGGAACTACACACACGGTTTAGGGTATAGAAAAACTGACTCGCAGCAGGCAGTATCAGGGGGTGGAATATGAGCAAGGTCGGAACACAGCGAAGGGAGATGATCACAAGAAGTCAAAGCTTCGACCCATCCCGATTCAGCACCGTACAAGAACTCTTCTCCAACTTCCTCTTCGATTACGCATGGCTAGAGAAGATGAAAACAACATTTTAGCCAAGATCACCGATTCAATTCAACAGCGACAAAAGAAAAATAGGAACTAGGATATTTTCCGGCGACTCGAAGAGAACTGGCCGGAGTGTTCTGATTACGATACCGCTGGGTTGGAGGAGGAGGAGCCGGCTTCGTTTGCCATTGATGAACGATGAACAGAGAATTTCAGGAGTTGCTTGGACTTGATAATGCAATGACCTTCCTTCTTAATAAGGATTCCGCATTAATTTTTAACTAATACATTTTTCTTAATTAGTCTCGATTTATTATTAAAATATTATACAATTATTTAAATTAAAATTTTAAATTTATTACTAGAGCGGGAATAGTATGATATTGTCTACTTTGAACATTCACTATTCATCTGGGCTTCCCAAAAAGCCGGAGATAGTATTCCTTAATTATAAATTCATGATCATTCCCTAAATTAGTCGATGTGGGACTTTCATCAACCGACACAGATAACTAGTAACTAAGTGTTCCATAATTTATATATGAAAATTTTGTTATAAATTCATTTATTTTTATTTTTATTATTTAAAAGTGAGTGAAAATTATAATGGGACGGATTATCAAACCCGGCCCAAGCGGGTCGGGTATTTTTATAAGTGGATAAAATCGTAAATACGCTACAATTAGGGTTTTATTTCTCATATAAAATCAATCCTTTAAATCCGTCGTCTTCTTCCTCGCAAGAATTCTGCTTCACATTGTGATTTCGAAGCGTCTCAATACCTCACGATCATGGGGCACTCCAACGTGTGGAACTCTCATCCTAAGAGCTATGGGCCTGGTTCTCGCACCTGGTAAGAAAATATCTTCTCACTCCTCTGGAACGTTAGTTTTGTTTTCTGTTTTTGTTTGGTTTATTTGAAGGATTCGGGAGTTCGTCTACGAAGTAACAAATATTTTAGTGTATATATCTCTCTTTAATGTTTGTTCTTGCGCGATTTGTAATCAAATCTGAAGAGTATTGCGGTTGATGATGCATTATGTATTACTATTCGTGTTTTACCAGGAAGGATTGAATAGATAATCAGATGCCTAAGTTTCTGTTTCCAGTTTATATAACATGGCTTTAAGCTGTCCTCTTCAAGGTTTTCCCAACTTGGATGAGATTTTGAGATGCTTAAATTTTGTGCTGATGTGTGGGGTTTCTGTTGTTACTGCATCGTAAGAGTCGTTACAATGGCAGATGAATTTCTAGTTTGACCTTGGATTTATATAGTGATCGTATCAAAGATCAATAGTTTTTATGATGTATGGTATTTCGTTTTCTATGTCCTTAAGAGTACATTATTTATTTCATTGTACGCTGCCTATAATTTTAGCATTTTATCCGTTACTGAACGATGATTGTTCTTCGTTTGGGTGAGTCATTTGAATTTCTAAGTTTAACTGGATGAATTATATATGAAGTGTGTTTAGATGGAATATGCCTAATATTATTCGAGAATTCTCGAAGTTGGTTAACTTTAAAAGACAACCCATTAGATGCATGTTGGAGCGGGGAGTGATTTTGAAATAGATGAAATCACTTTTATTGTATTCAATATCACTTAACATGTTTTTAGTTATTCAAGATCAATATTTTGGTATGAAAATCACCTTTTAATATGTAAGATCCAACATTAAGTTGATTTTGAATGATTAAAGACATGTTTTGGTGTAGCTTTGAACGTAACAAAAACTGATTTTAAACATTTTAAAATCATGATTAAAATCATTTCTAAACATGCCTTATGGCTAGATTTTTTGTCTATAAGCTATCAGGCTTATGGATGTCTAGGGTTTAATTTTGTCTCATAATCATTGACTGCTGAGAAAGTTGAATTTCATTAACCTTTTTCTGTCAATTCTATTCTCAGTCGTGTGTGCGGAAATCCTCATGGTTTGATCAGGAAGTATGGACTTATGTGTTGCAGACAATGCTTCCGTAGCAATGCCAAGGAAATTGGCTTCATTAAGGCAAGTTATCTCTTTGGTCTATACTGTTTATTATTTGTAGTGACACTCCTTTATCTTCTGCATTATCTAAACTTTGAACTTTCCATTTTTGCAGTACCGCTAAGAAGCTTATATCAGAGACGATGGGTTGAATTCTTTTTTGAAGATTTCCCCATGTTTTGCGATGTTTTTGCTCTTATTTACTTGGTCTGAAAAATGGTTGTTATTAGACGACAATTGTGACACTTTGCTATGAACTACCATATTTAACGTTTCTTAATTGAGCTTGCCCTTTGATATATTTTGTCAAAGATTCCTTATATTGTTTTTCCAGTCTTTAAGCGTATTCATTACGTGATGTCTCTTTTTGGTGCATCTAGAGCAGCGATTAATTCGTTAATCCATCACGTTTTTAAATTAAAAATTGTATGGTTACAAATTGTGTTCATGTGATTTGCCAATGTTTGTGTTTTAGAATTGATTTCAATTTCTTCTATATGTTTCTATCTAAATAGAAATAATTGACCATACACAAATTATGACAAGAGAGGGTGGTACGAAATTTTTTTGCATAAAACCTCATTTGGGACATGAGGGAAAAAGATCAAGTTGACCCTTGTGATTGTGAATATTGATGCACAAATTTCGTTCGACCTTTGGGCGAAATGTGTCTAAAGGAGGAAATTTTATGGAGCAATCTCATCATCTCCACCCTTGGGAGCTACGAGGTCACTCCAAGGACATTTTCAGTATCTGGTGGTCACAGAACGATCATAGAACAACAACCCTATTCAATAAGTGGAACACATTAATTGTCCACTTTTAACGATCATAGAATCTTATTCGTGAAATGTATTAGTATTAGTTCATGAAATATATTAGTATTAGTGGGTGACCATAAGTTCATATGAATATAGGATGAACAAAAGGCATTCGCATTATCATTTTATTTGAAATATGGTCTCAAATGTTAATGCAGGGGGTTGAAGTTGAATAGCATGAACAAACACTTGGCATCTGAATGCATATTTTTGTGATTCCCCCTCTCAAGCCTTTTATTTTAAGATGAATCAATTCTTTGCACCCAATAAACCTAACCTAAGACACCTTCTTTAGGAGACAAAGAGGCCAATACACCAACTCAAAGTGCTCTCAAAAGCAAACACAATGCCTTATTCCATTCACCTGAACAATATTACAGAATCATTCTCATCCTTCTTTCATCAAATCTCTGTTAGACTTCATAACCTCCCCATACATACTAATACTGTTGCCCTTAATTGCTATACTCTACACGCTCTTAGCCTATATATACTTTCATTCTTTCCTCATTTTAGCCATTAATGGTCACCCAAAACTCTTCTCATCTGAACCACTAAAAGCCCACTGCTAAGAAACGGAATGCCTTCTGTTCCTCGACGGTGTCGACTTACCTTCCTCTTGATTACCAGAACCGAGGCTCTCCGATGAATCCGAGCCGCTGTTCTCGCCATATCCTCCTTTGCTTGACCATAGCTTTGTGAAAAGCTTCTTTGACTTGAGCAAGCCTTTCATTTTACTAAGAGCTGCTTTCTCACTGCCTCCTCCTCCTCCTCCTCCACCAGTAGCTAGCCTCAAGGAAGCTAGCTCTCCTTTGAGGGCCTTCAGCTCCTCAGCCATGGTAACAGCATCCCACTCTTCCTCTGGGGTTGTACCTGATCTCGAACTTCCGTGAGACCCACTTGTTAGATCCTTGACGCCTTTAGGTAGCTCGGGTGTGCTGCTGCCCGATGATGTCGATGCCCTGACTTGCTCGAAAAATAGTACCTGCACAACCATGCGTAAAGGGAGTCGTTCGTTTTGTACGGCGTGAATGCACGCCTCTGCAGATAGTTTCTTACAGTCTATCAATTTGCAGATTCTTTTTCTATCACTCTTGCTGATCCCCGGATGTTCCTGTAAATCAAGTAATGAACTTCTATTTGAAATTCGGTTGGAAAAATGAACATAACTTATGATGCAAACGACTACGCTATATGAACATAACATTCTAATGAATCGAAAGCCAAAAACTTCAAACTGGTACCTTCAGAAACATGTCGATACCTCGATAAAGCCCGTCGTGTGAAGGCCGAGCGATGCCAGACACCATTTCTGCAAGATTAATGAACTTCACTGATGGTAGATTAGGATCCTTAGCAATTTCAACAAGGTAACCATCGATCAATTTTGCCACCATCAACTTAGTAGCATCTGATAAAATCCCTGGCCCTCTTGGCTCTTGAAGCTCACTTCCCTCTTCAACCGACTCGATTTCACTATTATGATCTTGCAAAAGAAACACTTCCACGATTTTCTGCACGGTATTAACATCATACATAACTTCACCTTCCGGTGCTCGTAACAAAAGATCGTTCACTGAAGCCTCCTCTAGCTGCTGCCCGATTCGTCGAATGAGCTCTTCTTTGGTCTCGTCTCCAGAAGCTATGACAATGCAAGCCTTCAGCAATTTGGACAGAAAACTACTTGAGACACTGCCTTTCTCGGCAGGTAACAGCCAGACAATCGTGGCCACTGCCGATTGGTACTTCGGCAGATCCCCACATTGAAGCACGCCTTTGCTAAAACCCGGAAGATATCGGTAAGCATAAGCTTTCAACGCTTCGCCAATCACATTATTAGGAACTATTCCTTTGTTCTTTATACTCGCTATAACACGTTTATATAGATCAATTTCAAGCTCACACAGATCCTCAACCCACCAGTCTTTCGGCACACTGCGATTCCTGATACCGTTCCAGTTAGGATCGTTCCCGTTTTCCTCCGGTAGTTTCTTACGGTTGTACGTGTAAGACCAATCAACTTTAGCAACATCAGAAGAGGCCTTTACAGCAATAGCTTCTATGCAATTGCTTACTAGTTTCAGTTCCTCAGACAATGACATTAATGCCTTTGTAGTCTGAAGAACAATGATCGAATCCTTCCAGCTCCGAAAGATGCTCGAACTAAGGAAAACATCGATCTTGTACGCGAGGTTTCCCTTCTCCATTGTCTCGTGCATTCCTAGGTATTCAGCAGCACAACGAGCTGCGACTACGTTATAGGCATTAAGCGTTACGGTCATGCCATAGCAGAACTTGGCACATATCTCAAATGCCACGGAACCACCTGGGATGTCTGGAATGTAAATTTCATCATTGTGATCTGTGACCAACTTCTGCAAGTGAGCACTCTTTGACAGAAGGGGAAACTGCAAAAAATCCGATATCACTAACTTCCTAATACCGTTCCCACGGAGTTCGTCACGATCTACGAATATCTGTAAAGGGTAAGAATCAGCATACCTTATGGAGGTAAAACTTGATGTCCCCAACGATAACAGTGATGTCGGTGGCTAATTCACTTACAACATACCTGCAACATAAACGTGAAATGAGAAAGTTGCATGATTGTTTAATTTGAATATATAACAGCACAAGCCCTCCGCTAGTAGATATTGTCCGCTTTGGCCCATTACGTATCGTTGTCAGCCTCACAGTTTCAAAACGCTTCTATTAGGGAGAGGTTTCCACACCCTTATAAAGGGTGTGTCGTTCCACTCTCCCTAACACACGTGTTTTAAAATCGTGAGGCTGACAGCGATACGTAATAGGCCAAAGTGGACAATATCTGCTAGCAGTGAGCTTGGGCTGTTACAGAATATCACTTCCCCGTTAGCACATATTTCAACCAAATAAGATGCTCGTAAGTCTAAATTATTAGTACCGTTAACGCATTAACGTTAAAGCATATAAATAACAGTTATCCACTACTATACATCAGAGTGAGCCATCCAATACAGAAAATTCTCATGCATTGAGGCTTTGAAAAGAAGTGAAAGCTGAATGTGGACAATGGTACCAAAGAACATACACAAACATTCAGCATTTCCTTGTGACAAGATTCTTAATGTTCCCAAAACAGACAGAGACAGAAAGGTGATTCTTAATGTTCCCAAAACAGACAGAGACAGAAAGGTGATTCTTGAGTTTAAAAAAATTCAAACGTGGAATCTCTCTACTATCATACTCGTGCTCTCGACTGTTTCGACAGCAACGAAATATGCTATTGGCTCACGATTCCAGTTCTTGTCTCAAAGCATCTTTCTAATGTGTGGTCATTTGAGCATGTTCGAAGTGTCGTGAACTTAATTCCATAGCATATGATTCGATCCTTTCCCCAAATACGTGTAGGCATAGCGGCCTAGATGTGTAGGAAACATTCTAACGCTACTTGAAAATTTGATGCACATGTAATGGACATTAGAACATATACAAGTGATGTTAGCTCTCCAATTTCAGCATAGTTTCGAAGCTCAAAATACTATATTCACTTTCCGACACGTGAATGATCCAATGAAGCAGTCGATAAACGAAAGTATAATCTATGAACCATTATAACTCGAGAATGATTATTGATCTGTAGAAGAGGTAATATCATTTACTAGAAAAGAGTTGATATTTGGTAATTTGGATTGTGTTTAATATACGATCTTAATCCTATGAAACATAAATGATTTTAGCTTCTTACATTGTTCATTTCTTTTTCCCAAGTTAGTCATATCTTCTCTCGAGACCCTACTGTAACAGCCCAAGCTCACCGGCTAACAAATATTGTTCTCGTTGGACTTTCCCTTCAGGGCTTCTCCTCAAGGTTTTAAAACGCGTATGCTAGGGAGAGGTTTCCACACCCTTATAAAGAGCATTTTGTTCCTCTGTCTAACCGATGTGGGATCTCACAATCCACCCCTTCGGAGCCCAGCGTCCTCGCGGGCACTCGTTCCCCTCTCCAATCGATGTGGGACCCCCCTTCGGCGCCCAATGTCCTCGCTGGCACATCGCCCATTGTCTAGCTCTAATACCATTTGTAACAGCCCAAAGCCCACCGCTAGCAAATATTGTCCTCTTTGGGTTTTCTCTTCCAAGCTTCCCCTCAAGGTTTTAAAACGTATTTGCTAGGGAGAGGTTTCCACACCCTTATAAAAAGTATTTTGTTCCCCTCTCCAACCGATGTGGGATCTCACAATCCACCTCCTTCGGGGCCCAACATCCTCGTTGGCACTCATTCCGTTCTCCAATCGATGTGGGGACCCCTCAATCTACATCCTTCAGGACCTAGTGTCCTCATTGGCACATCGCCCGATATCTAGCTCTAATACCATTTATAACAGCCCAAGCCCACCACTAACAGGTATTGTCTTCTTTGTGCTTTCCCTTCCAAGCTTCCTATCAAGGTTTTAAAACACGTATGCTAGGAAGAGGTTTCCACACCCTTATAAAGACTGTTTTATCCCTCTCTCCAATCGATGTGGGGACCCCCAATCTACCTCCTTCGGGACCCAGCGTCCTCGTTGGCACATCGCCCGATATCTAGCTCTAATACCATTTGTAACAGCCCAAGCCCATCACTATCAGATATTGTCCTCTATGTGTTTTCCTTTCCAGGCTTCCCCTCAAGGTTTTAAAACACGTCTGCTAGAAAGAGATTTCGACACCCTTATAAAGACTGTTTTATCCCTCTCTCCAACCGACGCGGGATCTCACACCTACGAATCGATACTTAACCCAACAACATCATACCACGTTCGATAACATCACCCTCATACAAAGAACAACACTATGTCAAGCTCATACTGCTTCCATAGCTACTCCTTTCATGGTTTATTTAGTTCAAATACATGGAAACAACGTTAAACAACTTCAATATCTTCTGAAACCACCTTAAAGTCATGAAACAGTTCACATCTAAATGAAAGTCAATAAAAGAAAATGAGGAGCCCCAACGATGAAGCCACTTAGTGGACACCCAAAGCAAAGATTTGAACCAACAAAACCATCATAGAAAAGAGTGAAAAAGAAACGAACTTGAAAGCTTTTGCCAGTCATTCTGAAAAGACAAAAAGTGAATAACAACCAAAGCTTCAACACACTGACCCTTTACCCCCACACAAACGCCTTTTCAAACAGACCATTCTTTCAAGAACATAAGAACAGCTACACAGCTAGTTGCTAAACCACCCCCAGCTCACCGCCGGAGAGCGGCGGATTGGGTGGTGGAAGTGAAGTATAAAATGCATGAAGCCAAGAACACTAATAATAATGAGTATCAACTAAAGCAAAGTGAATGAAGAAGGCAGAGGAGATCTCACCTAACATTGGTCCCATCAGTCTGAAACGAATCAGGTTTTGATCCAAGTTTCATGAACTTCATCTTCACAATCAAGCAATCAATGAAAGAACTTCAAGTTTTCTCAATCAAAACCACAAAAAAAACCCCTTTTTCTCAGAACCCCACAACGAAAATGACACCAAAATGAACTCAAAACGTCAACAAACAGCAACACTCCAATGCACAACCTTGCAAAAACCCCACGAGAGAGAGAGAGAGAGATTTAGCGATCAAGACTCTAAAAATGACCAAATTTGTAAAGAAAAACAGAGCATTTGTGGATATATGGATGTGGGGTGGATGGAATCTTGACAAAAACCGAGGCAAAAAGGTAAGAACGAGAGAAAAAAATGGGGGAAGGAAGGGTTTTGTGAAGTTTTTTAAAAAGAAAAAGGGTAAGAAAGTGGGTGTTTCCCCGGTCGGCGGCAAAGCCCACGGTGCCCGGGTCAGCTAGTCAGCTCTGGAGACATGGCTAACCCAAAAGCCTTCTAAAACACTAAAAATAAAAAGAATTCACATCTCTGGTGACTCTGTTTCTCTGTTTTCTCCTCTTTTTAAACCCCTTTTCTTAAAGCCTTTCAATTTGCAAGCCCCAACATATGCTATGCTATTCTATGCTATGATTCAAATGATAATGTAGATATCAATACTAATACTTTTGGGCTTCCATTTTGGTATCACTTAAATTATTATGCTATTCACCTTTTGTTTTGGTGTAACGAGAGAATCAATGATGAACTACCCAACAACCAAATCTGCATAGAAATTGGAGTGAATATCTAAAGAATCTATCAGAATATATAGTAGGGAAAAGGCTACGGTCAAGAATCATCAAGATCGAGTTTTTAATTGTGTATGCTCTGTAATTCAATAAACCCACATGAAAAAATGGCAATCTGTGGACTTTTGAAATGCATGAAAATTTTCTTCTAAGCTTACTATTTTGAATTTTAGAACCCAATCGAACATAGGAAAGAACATAAATGTTGTTTCAATGAAGCTGTGTTGAAATAAGATATGTTGGTAGAAGATGTCGTGTTGGTTGTCTCTTGTTTGTGTTTTTCTCTGCAATTTTTTTGAGAAAGTTGTGGTTTTGAAGTGAACATTGAAGCATTTTCACGATCTCGTTTGATAATTCGTATCTGCTATAAAACCAAGCCATGAAAGAAAGCCAATTATAGTTACTTGGAGTAAAGATTAAAAAGGGTTAAGAAAATATGGAGAAAGTCAATTCACTGCTCTTCGGCTCTACGTCCTCACTAACACTTGTTTTCTTCTCTAATTGTCGTGGGACCCACCAATCACTCGTTTTCTCATATTTTTCATAACCTAATTAATCAGTCTCCAAAAAGAATGGTGCAGGTTTTTTCTATTTATCAACTAGAACTTCATTTTTTACACCGTTGATGATGTTACGGGTCAGTTCCACTCTTCAAGTCAGCAATTTTGCTCAACATTGTCAATCGATTATCATTCTATTCAGTTAATCTCATAAGATTCCAATGACCCGAGACAACGTGTTTCCTCTTGTGGATGGCGGATGAAAGTCACACCCCATGTGTTTATGGTAAAAGCTTAGATTTTTATTAATGTATTTGGTTAGAGGAGTGGAATGGGAAAGGTTAGGTAATTGAGGACCCCAAAAGATCTAAAGAGCTGAAGCACATGGTGCTGACTGTACCAACATTGCTCTCTCTCATATTAATATTATAACCGAAAGATTCCTCAACCCTTCAATCTCTCTCTCTCTGTTCAAACTGAAAAAGATGAGATTTTTAGGGTAATGAGAGAGAGTGAGAGTCAACGGCTTAGGGTTATCAAAAGGACCATATTATATATATATATATATATAATTAAAGCTTGGGATGTTCTCAGGAATATTTCAATATTATATGTTCGGCCCCACATTTTTTTCTTCGTCTTCTTAGATTATATGTTCATGTTCGTGTTATGTAGGCATGCTTTTAATTCTCTTAATCTAAGTTTTTATTTTTAAAATTGGATGGATTTATTATGAATTACGAGAATGACAATGATACGAACGAGTGGAGAAAGTTCAACTTTTGAACGTTTCTATTTTAAAAATGGAAACTTTTTTAAACTAACACGTTAAGAAATGACAACATTATTATTATAAAAAAAAAACATAATCCAAAATTTCATAATTTTATTCGGTGAAGAGTTGGGATATTAACTCTTTCAAATAGGGATATTAAAAAAAATCGGTGACCTGAAAACTGATCAATTTAATGAAAATTTTGAGTTAAAAAAATTACAACTCAAACAAATAGAATGAAGTCTAAAAAAAGTCTTAATCCGACCCAATCTAGCCCAACTTGCGAACACATCAAACGTGGCCAATATAACCATAATTTAGAGGTAATCTACATATAATTCATCCCTTATTTGAAGGGGAATCACATCACATCTAGTAGTAATTGCTCATTGTCTGGCACTGCGAGGTTAGGGAAACTGAGGCAAATTCATGGGAGACAAGCTAACAATCTCAGATCAATTTGGAGCCTGAAATCCAAAATATTCTTCTTTAATTTTCATCGAACTCAGTACACATTTTCATATATATTATATTATATTCAACTTCAAATTCATAACAAAAAGCACATGGCCACTTTAAGGCTGAAACAAAATTGACATTTGCAGTACTTCTAATAATGCATTTCCCTGCATAATTAACACAAATTTCTGAATCCACAACTTTATTTTGAATCATGACAGCCATTGCCTGTGTGGTACGTTCACTACACAATCCAGAACAATCACATGAGCTTATCCATAATATTAAACCCATACCATTTATGGCACTACTCTAGATTTATAGTTCTACAACACCAGAAAAAATATTTGGAAGAACAAGTTTGAAGATTCCAAAAGCTAGTCAAGATACTCACGATTCTACGCTTAGTTTCAGCTTATCTTTTTCTTTTCTAATCATTCCAATTCTTGTGAATAGTTTAAGCTAAGCATGACATCCTAGAAGCTTGTAGCATATTGAAGCCAGTGTGATTTTGGGTCTGTCTAAGGTGGGGAGTTTTCAAGGACTCCATGATGCCTATGATTTCATTATGAACTGTCAAAGGAAAGGGGAGGAAAGTAGAGTGGGGAGGTTTGTGAGTTCCTACATTGGTTGGAGAGGAGAACGATAAGAGTGTGAAAATCTCTCTGTAACAGACACGTTTTAAAATTATGAGGCTGACGAGCTTATGCTCAAAGTGGATAATATCATACCATTGTGGAGAGTCGTGTTCATCTAACAACGTAATGGGTCAAAGCGGACAATATCGGCTAGTGGTGGACTTGGGTTGTTACAAATGGTATAGAGTTAGTCACCGGACGGTGCGAGGACTTGTTGGAGTGGGGCTATGCCCTTTCCATAGAAAGGCGTTTTAAAACTGTGAGTTTGACAGCGATACGTAATGGACTAAAATGGACAATATCTGCTAGCAATGGACTTAGACGGTTACAAATGGTATCAAAACCAGACACCAAGCAGTGTGCCAACGAGGACATCGGACCCCAAGAAGAGTGGATTGTGAGATCCTATATTGGTTGGAGAGAAGAACGAACCATTCCTTGTAAGAGTGTGGAAACCTCTCTGAACCCTTCCTTGCAAGAGTGTGGAAACCTCTCTAAACTCTTCCTTGCAAGAGTGTGGAAACCTCTCTCTAACATAGGTGTTCTAAAATTATGAGAACCATTCCTTGTAAGAGTGTGGAAACCTCTCTGAACCCTTCCTTGCAAGAGTGTGGAAACCTCTCCCCTTCCTTGCAAGAGTGTGGAAACCTCTCTGAACCCTTCCTTGCAAGAGTGTGGAAACCTCTCCCCTTCCTTGCAAGAGTGTGGAAACCTCTCTAAACTCTTCCTTGCAAGAGTGTAGAAACCTCTCTCGTGTTCTAAAATTATGAGATTGACGCCCATATGTAACCGACCAAAACAAATAATAACTATTACAGGTAAACTTGAACTGTTACAAGATTGTTGCCCCACGAAAAAAGGAAAGTTAGTTTGTGAGAAGAAAGTGTGGTTGGGAAGGGAAGCATCTGTGTGTGCAAATTGGCACCCAAAAAGATGTCACTTGTAAGTGTCATAATGGTTAAACCATAGAAATGAGGGGCTATGAGACAATCATGCAAAAATCTAAGCTGACCTTTTGGGTATGCTCAATTATTGTCGAAGTATGTTGTTTGTGCATGCTTTAAAAGCTTCTTGGCCACATTCATGCTTGGATCTTTGCCCAGCTCACATCCTCCACTTTCTCTCTATCTATTAAAAAAACACATATAATGATAGCAACACTAAGCATTACAAAGCTGAATCATTCATGGGTACCCTAATCTTTCTTCGTATTCTCTTTAGAACTTAGTGGTGGGATAGAATTCAACTTTGAATCAATAGCATAAGGCATATTGTAGTAGCATTAGCAATTATTCATCATGCGATTGAAAATAGAATTAAAGTCATTCTATACATATTTGTTTTAAATCAAACTTTAAATCATGCCAAGAATTTTTTAAAATGGATGGATAGTTTATAATACACTACATCTAAAATAGAATCAACCAATTGTTCGAGTTGATTTTATAGTATAAAATCACCTATTGACTATTTGGACACATTAACAGTAATGTTCCTATAATGAAGAAATCTTTTATAAAGGAGATACATCGGAGATACCCAATGTATGTATGAAAAATCACGACCTCAAACATTAGATAATTTAACCTCAAAATGGGACCTGAACCAAAAAATTAATATGATGGATTAAAATCGAAAAGGGTTGCATTATTATCTAATTCACTTTCAAGATAGTAGAGGTAAATCAACTAGTATTGTAGGAAGGACAAAAATATATGAAAAATCCAAGTGTTATCCATATCCTTAAAAACAATAGAGGAAATAAGTTTATAGAAACACAGCATCTGTACACGTTTAGAATGCTACTGATGGGTCCATCCCAAAATCTAAGGCTCTGTCTCTCTCGCCTCACCAAGAACAATCAGAAGTTTGGAAAGAAAGAAAAATACAAAAAAAAAAAAAAAAAAAAAAAAAAAAAAAAAAAAAAAAAAAAAAAAAAAAAAAAA